CATTTTCCGAGTTATTTTTTCAGTAACCAAATAAAGTTTCACTGAGTAAATAAAAATAAATTCTTTGCATAATCTTAATTAAAAATAATTAAATTTCTAATTATTGGATATATTCACCCGTAAACGGTATGAGTGCTCATACCGACAATAATGTGGTGTAAATAAATTTAATAAATAAAAATTTAATTGAAATTAAATTAGTCAAACATCAATTTGGATCGGGGATAATGGCTTTGAAATATAAACTCTTTAAATAATTAATATTACCAGATGATTGTTGTAATATATCTATTGGAATTAATACTTTTTCGATGTGATCAATTATGCTATTGTATGATGCTGTAAATTTTACAAATTTTAAAAATGACATAGATCCACCAATTAACCACCCTCCAACATCACCGAGCACTACTAAATCGCCCTTGTGATATATAGCTGGAGCAAGTACCGAAGCTAAGTGAATCGCCATAACTACGTAATTAAAAGTTCTGAAAATAAAATGTAATATTTTCAACAAAATATGTGCTGATGGTTGTAGTGGCCAAACACCACAGTATCTGCAATAAATAATATTTATTATTTTATTACTCTTTCACTTAATAAAATTTTTTTACACTATATAACTATCATATCATATTATATGATTATACCTCAAGACATAAACACAAGTGTCGACAAATCGACGATGTGAATTAGGTAATCTCCCTTCCATGACTGAAGTATAAATATAATTTATTCCCTCAACGTAAATATAATTTCTTTGTTATGATAAGACTAGTAAGGGAGTGAAAAATATGAATTCGCAGAACTTCTATTATTAAACGTTTCGATAATAGTAATTCTTCATTTTTCTTTGTTTCCAGCAATAGTAACATATTATTACAGTATATATTATGTATTCAATAATTACATAGGGGTTGTTGAAAAGAGGACTTTTGTTAAACGTTCATTATATTTTTAGTAATGAAGAATAGAAAATGGGTGCATAATAAATTAGTTGACGGAAAAATCATCGTCTATACGGCGCCAGAAAAAAACTTAGGGGGTGCGAATGACTTTTTGACTTTACCCCACGTCAGTCTATACTCAATTTCCATCCGATTAACATCAATATTGTGGTTATTCGCTAACAGCAAAGTTAACGACCTTCACAGAATAATTACTGTTATCAATTTGTTCTATTTTCTACTGTAATAAGTGCGAGACTCCATCTCTAAACAAATAAAATAATTCAAACCATGAGTTATTACTTTTATACTGTCACAATTCATAAAAAATTGTAAAAATAAAATACACGGTCTGTTAGTGTTATTAATAATAATTAATTTTTATAACTAATTATTTTAGTTTAATATCAATTATTTTGAATTTAAAACAGATAATCGAACTGTTATAAACTTTCACTTGAAGCTAGTGATGGTTAATTATTGATATATGTAACTAAATGTTGGATATCTCTTTGCTTTTATTTTATAAGTAACGTACTTGTTTATTATTTTTATTAAAGACTCCTAATTTTTATTTATTGTTCATGACTACAGATATGTTATATATAAATCTCACGTTCTAATATACTGTCTTTTTACGTAGATAATTAACATTACATATAATATATAAATAATATAATTAACATTACATATTATATATAAATATAAATATATTATCTATATGTAAATTATAAAGTTATTTCCTAAATAACTCCCGCTTAGTTCAAGTTATTAAGCTACAACTATATAAGTTACATATTAATTATATTTTTTTAAATTTTATTCATTTCCTCTTTTTTCTTCCATTTGCACATTCTCATGATGACACAACTTACACAATTGAGTGATTCCGCATTCGCGTAATCAACGAACAATGAACGATTTAGTAGTGAGAATGTTATATAGATGCATTTTAATTATATTATTTTTCCGTCTTCGCTTTTAACTGACACTTGTTAATTCACATGTTTTTAATTTTTTTTTGTCGTTTCCTATGCCAATGACATATACACTGTAAAAATG